AATTTCCTTTCCTCTGACCCATGACTTGTCCTTTATCTCGTTCCAGTTGGCATACAACTCTTGTACCATGCTTAGATTTGCAGGGCCCGGACATTCGAGGAGCTTATCCATCTTCTTTTCTTCCAATCTGGCAAGTACATCTGCGAAATTCCATTCTAAGGCCTTTACATTAATCCCCATTTCGGAGACATATCTCCCTTATGGAACAAAAGTATCATGCCATTTGATGGCGTCATCTCGAACCAGTTCCACCCGAGGCCGTGGTGGCCTCGTCGACTCGCTAGCAACTTGCTTTCCCTTAGCTTGCTGGGAAGAACTCTCGCATTGCTTGTGTTTCTTTGGAGGGGGAGCAGTAGTGGAGGACTTCCCCACCCCTTTTCCTTTGGCAGCACTGTCACGATCCATAGCAACCTACACACGATAAACATGAATATGAGAATGAATCAAGAACTTTCACCTAAGGTCATCGTGAAAGGCAAGATGACCCCACACTTAAAACTGAAGGCTATGCATAATCGACCCATAATATTGGTTCAAAATGCACCAATGTGTCATCACAAGGCTATAGGTACTCAAGACTTCCCTATGCCATACGATTCAAGTAGTTTAACATGGACGTAACTTAATTGTGGTGCAAGAAAGCAAAGCTAAAGTTCACATTAATACACTAATATAGTACACTAACCATTTACAAGAGTTTACAACAAGATACAACGCCCCCAAACACCCCACACTTCGCCCAACATCATATATAACTACACTCGGCTACTCAGAATTCACCGATGTTCAATTTACTCTCTTAGGCATTTTAGCAAACAACTTGTGGGCATCAATTTTGCTTCTCTTATTTCAACAATGGTGGAGCAAGGTGGCCCTCCCGAATTTACATGAAGTAGAGAGAATTATAGTTTACTACTTCAAACACAAATTCACAACCAATTTTTGCATCCAATTTCGTGCATATTAAGACCACTCACCATAACAACAAAGCATGTTTAAGAGACCTGGGGAATTGGGGTTTGTTGGAGAAGGAGAGCTAACAATACACTAAGAAATTTCAAAATACAAGAGAAGAGAAAACAAGAAGAACATACCTTTGAGTCTTGAGATGAAAGTGAGCAAGAAAAGTTGAAGAATTTAAGAGGGAAGGGGAGAGAGCAGCGGTGAGAGAGAAAGAGGTTTTGGATTTTTGTTGTTTTAATTTAAGTGGGGAAAATGTTTGGGTAATTGGGTATGGGTAAGGTTATGTGTGTATATGGGTAATTGGGTTGGGTTATATGGGTTGGGTCGTTTAATTAGACAAAGAAAATGAAAAAAAAAAGTGCTTACCTGACCCCCCAGCCCAGCGCCCCACGCTGGGCTGGCATAGGGGATTTGAGCAACACTGGAAAGTGCACCCCAGGCAGCGTGGGGCGCTTTCCTGGGCGCTCGTTTCACAATTTTTTTATTGATAAAATCCCGACTACCCGAGCACTCAATACATACGCTACACTCACCCCACACCATTCCCACCTAAGATTTTTGCAAGTACAAAGAAAACAAAAAATTAGCCTACTCTAAGTCTCTAACTAGAAGAAAATAAAAAAACTAAGCTACGAAAGCAGTAAAAATTGGGCTGCCTCCCAACGAGCGTCTGATTTAACGTCGCGGAACGACTCAACACGTTTTTAAGCATCGGCCAAGTCCACTGAGGTCTTGTGACGTGCAATGTCACCACCCCAATAATGTTTATTCTCTGGCCATTTACCAAGAAGGTACCACTTGAGCTCGAATCACGCAGTTCCACCGCTCCATGAGGCCTCACACTTACCACAATGAATGGACCTGCCCAACGAGACTTAAGCTTTCCGGGGAAAGCTTCAACCTTGAATTAAACAAGAGAACTTCTTGACCTGGCTCAAACTCTCGATGTTGGATGTGCTTGTCACGCCACTTCTTCGTCTTTTCTTTATATAATTTGGCATTTTCATATGCGTGCAATTGAAACTCATCAAGCTCGTTGAGTTGCAGCAACATCATCTCACCACCTAAGTCAATATCCATATTCAGCTTTTGATTGCCCGATAGGCTTTGTGTTCAAGCTCGACGGGCAAATGGCACGCCTTTCCATAAACTAACTTATAAGGAAAAGTACCTATGGGATTCTTGTATGCAGTTCGATATGCCCATAATGCGCCGTCCAGCTTCCCGGACCAGTCCTTTCTATTTCCACTTACTGTTTTCTCCAAATCTACTTTTCCTCTCTGTTTGAAACTTCCACTTGACCACTCGTTTGGGGGTGATAGGCAGTGGAAACCTTGTGCTTAACTCCATACTTTGCAAGAACATTATTCAGCAGTTTGTTACAGAGGTGAGTTCCTCTATCACTTATCAACACTCTTGGAGTCCCAAAGCATGTGAAGACGTGCTTCTTTACTAAGTTTACCACTACCTTTGCGTCATCAGTAAGAAGAGCAATGTCCTCCACCCACTTAGAAACATAGTCGACCGCCACCAAGATGTACATGTGCCCATTAGAGTATGGGAAAGGTCCCATGAAATCAATCCCCCAAACATTAAAAAGCTCTACTACCAGAATGTTTTGCAAAGGCATCTCGTGCTTCTTCGTGATTGTTCTGGTTCTTTGACACCTGTCACATATTTTAACAAAGGCATGTGCATCCTTAAATAATTTTGGCTAATAAAACCTGATTGTAGCACTTTTTGGGCGGTTCTATCCCCACCGTGATGACCTCCGTATGGAAAAGCATGACAGTCATGCAGTATTGGATTCATCTCTTCCTCAGAGACACACCTTCGTACCCACTGATCTGCGCACTGCCGATATAGGAATGGCTCATCCCACATGTAGAGCCTCACATCATGTAGGAACCTTCTTCTATTATCGGGTGTCAATTCTGGTGGTGTCACCCCGCTTGCAATCAAATTCACATAATCTGCATACCATGGGCTTCACTTGAGGTGATTGCTAATAACTGCTCATCAGGAAATGTTTCTTTGATTGATCCTCCTTCAGCTACATGGCTCCGAATTTCTAATCTAGACAAGTGATCAGCCACTTGATTCTCTGTCCCTTTTTGATCTCAGATCTCTAAGTCAAATTCTTGCAAGAGCAGGACCCAACGAATCAGTCTCGGTTTGGCATCTTTCTTTTCAAACAAGTATATGATAGCCGAATGATCTGTGTAAACGATGACTTTGGTTCCCACTAGATAGGATCTGAACTTTTCAAACGCCTGCACCACTGCAAGCAACTCTTTTTCAGCAACAGTGTAATTCATCTGGGCTGGATTCAGCGTTTTGCTCGCATAATAAATGGAGTGTAAGATTTTATTTCTCCTTTGCCCAAAACAGCTCCGATTGTTATGTACTCGCATCGCATATCAACTCAAATGGTTGCGCCCATTCCGGGGCAATGATAATTGGTGCAGTCACCAACCTTCCCTTCAGCTCCTCAAATGCTTTCAGACAGACATCATCAAACTTGAAGGGGACATCTTTCTCAAGAAGCCTGCACAAAGGAGAAGAAATTTTCGAGAAATCTTTATTGAAACTACGATAAAAACCTGCATTGCCCAAGAAACCGCGAATGCCTTTGACGGATGTCGGGCAACTTTTCAATCGCTTCCACCTTTGGTTTGTCCACCTACAAACCATTTTTGGACACCTTGTTCCCCAGGACTATACCGTCACTTACCATAAAATTGCACCTTTCGCAATTTAGTACCAAGTTTGTCTCTTCTCACCTAGCAAGCACTTTATCAAGGTTCATTTAACAATTATCAAAAGAGCACCCAAAAACAGAAAAATCATCCATGAACACTTCTACAAATCTTTCAGCCATGTCAATAAAAATAGCCATCATATACCTTTGAAAAGTCGCAGGTGCATTATAGAGACCAAAGGGCATTCTCTAGAACGCATACGTGCCATAGGGACACGTAAATATGATTTTCTCTTGGTCCTCTGGGGCTATAGCAATCTGATTATACCCCGAATAACCATCTAGGAAATAGTAGCATTCCTAGCCAGCTAATCTATCAAGCATTTGGTCAATAAAGGGGAGGGGAAAGTGGTCCTTTCGGGTGGCATTGTTCAATTTTCTATAATCTATGCAAATTCTCCACCTAGTGACAGTTCTTTTGGGAATCAAGCCATTATTTTTATTGACCGCTACGGTCATCCTCCCTTTCTTAGGCACACATTGGACGGGACTTACCCATTTGCTATCAGAGTTTGGAAATACAATACCTGCATCAAGCCACTTAATCACTTCTTTTCGAACCACCTCTTTCATGATTGGATTTAGTGGGCATTGTTGCTCTAAACTTGGCTTGTGTTTGTCCTCCATGAGGATTTTATGCATGCAGAAAGCTGGACTAATGCCTTTAATGTCAGACATTATCCACCCAATTGCTCGCGTGTGCTCACGTAGCACTGTCAACAGCTTTTCTTCCTGCAATTTAGACAAGTCAGAAGAAACAATAATAGGTAAAGTGTCAGAACCACCCAAATAAGCATATTGAAGGTGAGGAGACAGGGGTTTAAGCTCCAATTTTGGAGCTTCTTCAATCGACGGCTTTGGAGGAGGCCCACTTGGCCTATTTAGGGGCTCAAAGGGGTGTATTCCCTGCATGTAAGCACATGATGCATCATCTCCTTAACCTCATCATCAATCTCCAAGCTATCGAACAACATGATTTCTTTCTCTAGAGAATCGTCTAGATATACACTCGTGTCAAGAAGTTGCTCATCCACCTCCACTACAGATATCATTGAGAGCTCCGCATAGTGGCGGGGAAGTTGGATTTCCTTGTAGACATTAAAGACTGCTTCCTCGTTATCCACCCTCAAAATCATTTTTCCCTCTCTCACTTTAGTAATTGCATCACCAGTAGCCAAGAGAGGATAATGAAGTCCGCAGGCAAGATGAATTTCCCAATTTGCAGCAACACATCTTCAATCACTCCCATAGGGTATGCTATGGACCTATCAACTAGCTACAACATCACAGTGGTTGGTCTTGGAGCTCCCAGACCCAATTGCTTGAACAAGGACAAGGGCATCAGATTTATGCTCGCCCCCAAATCACAAAGAGATCGACCCACATTAATATTACCCATTCGCACAGGGATGGTGAATCTGCCAAGATCCTTAAGCTTTTGATGAAGCTTGTTTTGGACCCTTGAAGTGCACTCCTCAGTAAGTGCAACTGTCTTGAATTCAGTCAATCTCCTCTTGTGATCCACTATATCTTTTATGTACTTAGCATACTTTGGAATTTCACGAAGTACATCCACTAATGGAATATTCAGTTGAACCTGGATCAACATAGAGATAAATTTGTTGAACATGCGATCATCATTCTTTTTCTGCTATCTCTGGGGGAAAGGCGGTGGTGGCCTTGCAGCCTCCACTGGTTCTGAACTTGCTTCATCTTTCTTTGACTCGTGTGTTGCTTTAGGAATCAACTCCTCCTCAGGTATAGGCTTGTCCTTTCTCTTCTTTGGCACTTCCTCTAGTTCCCTCCCATTTCTGAGTGTAACTACATTAACTTGAGGGTTCTTCTCTATATCACTAGGAAGAGCTCCTGCAAGTCTAGTATTTTGATTTGCTGCTAATTGCCCCATTTGCCTAAGATTTCTGAAATCGGTCCTGAGCTATTGATTGTCAAGCAACAACTTCTTCAACAAGTGATTTGTACTCTCTTCTATTTGTTGGGGTGGCTTCTAAGGTTGATTGAAATTTCCTTGGGGCCTATAATGATTCTGAGTCAGTTGGTTTCCACCCAATGAGAAGTTATGATGATTCTTCCAATTTGGATTGTAAGTGTTCCCATATTGTGCATGCTGATTCATCGGACCTCTACTCTGTTGCCTCACATAGTATATAAATTCATGATTTGTGGGGCACATGTCACTCGTATGACTGTCACCACATAGTTCGCAGCAAATAGACATCTGTTGTACATGTTGCATCTTTTGTGTTTGTTGCATTATCATCCTATTCATCTGATTTGCCAATTTTGCTATATCGGCTCTCATGGTTGAGAAGTCATCAAGCTCAGTCACCCCGCCTGCTTTCTGTTTAATTGCTCTTCGTGAGTCCCCATCTCCTTGCCAATTATGATCATTAGCAGTGAAGTTATTTAGCAAGAGTTGGATTTCACTATACGGCCTCGCCATGCAACTACCCCCACAAGCTGAATCAAGATTCATCTTTGATGCCTCATCTAGCCCATCAACAAAAGTGTGACCCAACACCTCATTAGTCTGACAATGATGTGGGCAGTCTCTGAGTAGCTTCTTGGATCTTTCCCAAGATTGACGAAGTGTCTCTCCATCCCGTTGTTGGAACCCAAGAATCTGACTCCTCGACGACTTTGCCTTCTTAGTGGGGAAAAACTTGATTAAGAATTTCCTTGCTAGATCATCCCAAGTATGGATTGAGTTCACAGGCTCCTTTTGCAACCATTCCTTAGCTTCCCCAAGCAGTGAAAAGGGAAATAGTGTCAGCCTGACATAATCCTTGGAAACGTTCGGATAATTGTAAGTGTCCGTAATTTCCAAAAAATTCTGAATGTGCCTCTGCGGGCCTTCATGAGATAGACCCACATATTTCCCAGTGTACTAAATCAGTTGTACCATGTACTGTTTGAGTTCAAAATGCCCTGTGATATCAGGCTTCACAATAGCCTGCATCATATTAGCAAGATTGGGCCTTAGGGCTTCTATCACCGCACTCTCTTCATTACCGGCCATCTCTATTGGTTGTGGTTGAACTACGATGTACAACTCTCTTTATATTCTAGTTCTAGCTTCAATTTCCTTCCTGACTCTATGAAGTGTTCGTTCAATTTCAGGTTCAAGAGGAAGGAGGTTGTATGCGCTCCTACTCGTCCGCATTCAAGAGAAGAGCCTGCATTAACACAAACAAGGCAAACTAAAAATTAAAACTTGAACTAATAAAAGCTTAACTCAGTGAATTAGCTAATTTTTAAGTCCCCGGCAACGGCGCCAAAAACTTGTTGCGACCAAAAACACTCACGCAAGTACACGTGGTCGTCAAGTAATAGAGTAGTGAGTAGAGTATACTTATGATTAACTTTTGACTGATTCAAACTCAAACCACTTTTCGATTCAAGAGATTTCCCACAAAATATATAGGTGACTAATTTACTACCTAGAACTATCAAGCAACAAAATAACTAGAAATTAACCACAACACTTAAAGCAATTTCGGATAACAATCAATAGGAGATGATATTCCAGGGTCACGGGTTAGCTAACAATCGTGTTGCGTTCTTGGCTTAAAACGACTAATTAATTTATCTGGATTGTTGATTGAAAGGGTTGGTGTTACTCATAAGAATCTGTCGAGTAAGAATCTGTCGAGATCAAGCATACCTTCATCAAGGACGAGGTAACTAAGCCCCTTAAAATGGGGTTCATCCGGGAGGTCAAATACCCAAAATAGTTAGCAAACGTAGTAGTGGTTCCTAAGGAAAGGAACAAACTAGGAATGTGTGTAGATTATAAGGATCTAAATAAAGCATGCCCCAAGGATTCTTTCCCTTTGCCTAACATGATCGTATGATCGATGCCACGGCCGGCCACGAGACTCTCAATTTTCTCGATGCCTATTCCGGGTACAACCAAATACGGATGAACTCGGGCGACCAAGAAAAACCTCTTTCATCACTAAGTATGGCACATACTGCTATAACGTAATGCCATTCAGATTAAAATCGGTGCCACATACCAACGACTAGTAAACCGAATGTTCGAAGAATTAATAGGAAAAACCATGGAAGTTTATATTGACGATATGTTAGTTAAGTCCATGCGAGCAGAGGACCATTTAAAGCATTTGTAGGAAACCTTCAGTATATTGAAGAAGTACAACATGAAGCTGAATCCAAAAAAATGTGCATCCGGAGTCGGGTCCGATAAATTTTCTCAGATTCATGGTATCCAATCGAGGGAACGAGATCAACCCCGACAAGATTAAAGCTATCGAGGATATCACGGTAGTGGATAATCTGAAGGCTGTAGAAAGGCTAACTGGGCGCTTGCAGCCCTAGGGCGATTCATCTCGAGGTCTTTCGATAAAATTCATCAATTTTTCTCGTTGCTGAAAAAGAGAAACATCTTCACATAGACCCCAGAATGCCAACGGGCTTTAGAGGAACTTAAGCAATACTTATCGAGCCAACCATTTCTTCACACGCCGAGGGCGGACGAACGACTGTACTTGTACCTAGCGGTATCAGAAGTAGCGGTAAGTGGAGTCCTAGTCCGAGAAGAACAAGGTACTCAATTTCATATTTATTATGTTAGTAAGACCTTAGGTGAGGCCGAAACTAGATATCCTAACCTAGAAAAGTTGGCATTTGCCTTGCTAAGTGCCTCTAGGAAACTGAAATTATATTTTTAGTGCCATCCTATATGTGTTGTGACAACCTACCATTTACAAAATATAATGCATAAACCCGAATTCTCGGGATGACTGGCCAAATGGACCGTAGAAATCAGCGGGTACGATATCGAATATCAACCCTAAACAACCATCAAATCTCAAATTTTGGCAGATTTCGTGGCTGACTTTACGCTGGCCCTAATGCCCGAAGTCGAAAGAGAGTTGTTGATAAACTGGGGAACATATTTGGGAATTTGACCCTCTTTACGGACGGTGCCTCGAACGTAAAAGGGTCCGGGCTTAGCATCGTACCGAAGCTGCCCACATGCAATATAGTTAGACAATGTATTAGAACTGTAAAATTGACTAACAATGAGGCCGAATATGAGGCCATGATTGCAGGACTCGAACTGGCCAAAGGCTTGGGGGCGGAGGTGATCAAAGCTAAGTGTGACTCCCTCCTTGTATTGAACAAAGTTAACGGAACGTTCGAAGTGAGAGAAGAACGAATGCAAAGATACCTGGACAAGTTACAGGTAACATTACATCGGATCAAAGAGTGGACCTTGCAGCACGTGCCTCGAATAGTGAGGCTGACGCCCTCGCGAACTCAGGATCATCGGTCGAAGACGACGAGCTCAACTCGGGGGCGGTTGTACAGCTCATGAGGTCGGTAGCAGAAGAAGGTCACGCCGAAATAAACTCCACGAGCTTGACTTGGGATTGGAGAAATAAAAACATAGAGTATTTGAAGACCGGAAAACTTCCCTCATATCCAATGAAATCGAGGGCCCTGCGCATAAAGGCTGCCTAATTTAGCTTGTCCGAGGACGGAACCTTGCTCAGGAGGATGTTCCACGGTCCGCTAGCAACATGTTTGGGACCGGGGGATACCGAGTACGTTTTGAGCGAAGTCCACAAAGGCACATCCGGGAACCACTCAGGTGCCGGATCATTGGTTCGAAAGGTAATCAAAGCCGGCTATTACCAGGTCGATATGGAAAAAGATGCAAAGGAGTTTGTGCAAAAATGTGATAAGTTCCAAAGACATGCTTCGATGGATTCATCAACCCAGGGTGCTGCTGCATTCTGTTTTATCTCCGTGGCCGCTCATGAAGTTGGGGATGGACATCATCAGCCCACTTCAGTCGGCACCAGCTAAAGCTCAATTTGTTTTGTTTATGACTAACTATTTCTCTAAGTGGGTTGAAGCACAGGCATACCAGAAGATCAGGGAGAAGGAAGTCATCGACTTCATTTGGGACCACATCATATGTCTATTTGGAATACCATCTGAAATTGCATAACGGAAAACAGTTTATCGGCAGCAAAGTGGCCAAATTTCTCGAAGACCATAAGAGCAAAAGGATCTTATCAACACCTTATCACCCTAGTGGGAATGGACAAGCCGAATCAACCAACAAAACCATAATCAAAAATTTCAAGAAAAGGTTGACTGACGCCAAAGGGAAATGGAGAGAGATCCTGCCTGAAGTTCTTTGGGCGTATCGCACAACTTCGAAGCCAGTACAGGGGACACCCAGTTCTCATTGGTTTATGGCGCCAAAGCTTTAATACCAGTCGAAGTCGGGGAGCCGAGTATCAAATTCCGATATGCAACGAAGGAATCGAATGACGAGGCCATGAATACAAGCCTGGAGCTATTGGATGAACGGCGCGAAGCTACCTTTGTTCGATTGGCCGCCCAAAAGCAATGGATCAAAAGTTATTACAATCAAAGGGCCAAGCTTCAATATTTTAATGTCGGGGACTTAGTGTTGAGGAAGGTCACATTAAACACCCAAAATCCAAACGAAAGGAAATTGGGTCCAAACTGCGAAAGGCCATACAAGATTCTCGAGATCACAAGGAGAGGATCCTATAAGCTCGAAACGATGGGCGGAGAACAACTACCGAACAATTGGAATGTAACTCATCTTAAACGATATTACTGCTATGGTACGACCTCATTTCAACTCTATCTAATTTTTGACTAACACTTGCAGGTGATCGACAAGGAGCGGCAGGAAGCAGTTAGGTCTAAAAGCAGGCGTTGCACTCTTTTTCCCTTGAACCGTTTTTGTCCCAATTGGGTTTTTCGGCAAGGTTTTTAACGAGGCAACAGTGGATCCTGCTAACTTAAAATCAGAGGCCGATCACGAATCGATGTCAAAGACAGCACTAACAGTATCTGAGGTTCCTCTACAATCAA